AGGCACACAACAACAACAAATAATCTCTCTTCACAGTTCTATTAACTAATAAACACAGGTACAATTGGATAGTGAAAGACCACAGAAGTGTTTATTTTAATTATTTATTGGATTTATATTTCACTTTGTGGCATAGTGGTTTGAGGGTTGGACTACAAATCTGGAAACCAGGGTTCGATTCCCAGCTCAGCCATGAAACCCACTGAGTGACCTTGGACAAGTCACATGCTCTCAGCCTCAGGGGAAGTCAATGGCAAACCTCCTCTGAATGACTCTTGCTGAGAAAATTCCATGGATTTTCCCTAAATCCCTTAGGGCCGCCATAAGTCAGAAATGACTTGAAGGCATACAACAGCAACAATTGCACTTTTCTCTTAAAAAATGGGACTATGGAATTCTGGGATTTGTACATTTGTTGTGACAGCCGACCTCACTGACAAAGAAGGCCAAATGTCTCACAAAACTAAAATTCCTAGAATTCCATAGCATTGAGCCATGGCAGTTAAAGTGGTGTCAAACTGCATTATTTCTGCAATGGGAATGCAGCCATAATTTGCTCACCCTGGACTACAGGTTCTCCAAGATTTTTTCTTGCCCTATGATTCCATATTCGTTATCATGGTTATGGACCCATTTTATAGATGATTGGTAACCTAGATAGTTTACAGTATCCGTTTGGTCTGTGGAGTTTGTAATATTGCTGTTGTTTCTTATGTTAAATTATTCTCATAAACATGCAGAAAGCTGCCTCAAAATCACTCAGGGGACAAAAAGCAAAAAGTGTGTGTGTGGGGGTGTGTGTGTGTTGGAAGACTGCCGGGGAATCAGTGGGTGCAAAAGTGGGGGTTTGGTCCAAATGCAGCCCATGGGATGTACTTCCTCCACACCTGATTGAAGATAAGGATGGATATTCCTCACCACCATTTATGGTGATGAATCACCAGCGCCTTTTAAAAGAATCTCAAGTATTTTTGTTTAAAAAAGCAATTAGTTACAGTTATATTACTAAGACCTCAAAGTAGTTACTGATACAGTTACAAATGTTTAAAACAAACAAACCAACAAACCTTATGGATTCAGCTAGACACCATCACCACATGTACAGGTAAGCAGCCATTGGGTTTGATGGGAATCCATTACCCTATTGATCAAGAAGCAACTGCCTCATGTTTCTAGCCTCTCCCATAAGTGATCCCCCACATGATAGGCAGAAAATTGCAAAATCCCTCATGATGGAGATCAGGCAGCTGCTTCATAATTAACAGGGGAACAGACTTACCAGTAAGTGGGGTTTGGGGGACTTTCATGAGACTTACGTAGCCCCTAATCAGAGCCAATATGGTGTAATGGTTCAAGGGTTTGATGATGATGATGATGATGATGATTTTATGCAATTATACCTGCCTTTCTCCCAATAATGGGACTCAAGTCAGCCAACAACATTTAAAAACCAATACAGATTAAAAACACTCCAGAAGTTCAATGGAAGTATGAAATGCGCAACTAAACAATCATATATTAAACCGATTTAAAATATTAGAATGCAGTAAAAACAATTAAAAAACTATATACAGACTCTTAATAAATTTCAAAAACAGCACCAGACACCATTAAGAGCCCAACCTCAACAGTTTGTAAAGGCCTGGCAGCACAAAAATGTTTTAACCTGCCAGCAGAAGTAGAGCAAGGATGGTGGGTGGGAGTCTGGGAGCAGCCACCAAGAAGACCCTGTCCCTTGTTCCAATCAAATGAGCCTGAGAAGGTGGTGGGACAGAGAAGAGGGACTACAACTTTCTGCTCAGCCATGGAAACCCACTGGGTGACGTTGGGCAAGTCACATACTCTCAGACTTGGAGGAAGGCAAAGGCAAACCCCTTTGAACAAATCTTGTCAAGAAAACTCCATGATAGGTTAGGCTTAGGGTCACCATAAATTGAAAACAACATGAAGGCACACAGCAACAGCAACAACAACTTATCTCCTAAAATGTAGGTTACATATTTAATCAATTCTTTATTACGGCCATTTGGCCAGCATAAAGTAAAAATAAAATAAATAGAAAACACAACTTAAAAGAAACTCTATAGATAATAGTATACAATAACTTCTTACAAGAGCATACCAGTAACTGCAAACAGATCGCTCTAGCCTCTCAGGTTTTTATACAGTTAGTCTATATAACACAACCATATAGTTATCTGGTCGCAATGATGTTCAGATAGAATTTCCAAGGGATTACGGTAATTACAAATATTGTACAATGTCATGATTTCGAAAATATATTAAATGTAATCCATTATATAAATAGATTACATATTTATATCTTCCCAATAGGAGTTTGGCCAGTTATTTTTGTTATTTTTGAAAACAAATACTATACTTATTTTATATTTACTCTGGAGAAAAAGGCCATCTGAACGCTGTGAGCTGTTGTCCTGTAGCAGAAAACCTACAATCCTCCTGTTCAAAGGCTGATTATCTTTGGGCCTTTGCAGAATGCCAGAAGTAGTGCACATTAAATTGAGGCACTGCCCTGGCTCAGTGCTAGGGAATCATGGGAACTGTAATTTATTGTGGCACCAGAGCTCTCTGACAGAGAAGGCTCAATGTCCCAGAAAAAAAATACAATTCCCAGGACTCCCTAGCACTGAGCCAGGGCAGTGCCTCAATTTAATGTGCACTATTTCTGGCAGTCTGCAAAGGCCCTTAATCTTTAATGTGAACACAATCCAACACCTGTACGATGAGACCATGCTTGAGCCATATGATATTCCTCCTCCATTTGGTAAGGCCACACCACAATAACTAAACAGTAACATAAAATGTAATTTTACACATTAACATCATACAATGAAAAGAGTAAAGTTATGTCAGGGTATGCCAGTTTGATACTAAGTTGTGACTCGATGAAGGGAAGGTATAGCAAAGTGCCAGGTGAAATCCATGATAGTAAGCCAGCTCTGGCAATTAGTGATGCAATGATCCAATTAGGCCAGGTGATCTTGATATCCACTTAGCAGAGTATAACTTCATTAGGAATCTGCTTGGGTTTTAGAAAGTATATTACTCTCCATATTGGCCAGCAGTCTGTTGCTGGGAAGTAAGTTTTTCTCCTTGTTAGGGATTTGTAGTACTGCAGATATGCAGGAAGTTATGCTATGCTGATTTATTTTTGCATTGTATATATTTGTACTTAGCCATGTTGCTATATTTTTGCTTTCTTTATTTTTGTTTTACACTCTGCTGAGTAAAGCTCTATTTTTGTTGACTCCACCACTCTGCTCAAAATATTTTGCAACACATCCTAACGAGTCATCCCTTTTCTCTTGAGTTACAATAGCATTGTAATGTAGTTATGTTCAGTTATTGGGGAAATAAAATAATTAGAAATAACTAGTTATCTTTTTCTTACTTGCTATCATGCACCTTGCAGTTCAGTTGTCAGGCAGATAGTATTTTAAATAATAAATCATTGAGTCACGTTGTATCAATAGGTGAAGCAGCAAATTCATATTTATTTATTTTTTGTCTCCTTCAGACATGCCTTTAAAGGATAAGCTTTTGGAAAGTCTACTTCTTTAGATACATGGAAGTACTTGCATGTATCTGAAGAAACAGACTTAGGATCTTTGCAGACTGCCAGAAATAGTGCAAATTGAGTCCACTGTAACTGCC